TGGATTAGAGATAACGATACCTCGGGTGCGATCTAAGTGAACTGTAATGTGAATCTAGCTAGCGTAGCTTGAGAGAGTGCGTCTAGTAAATTATCATAATTGCTTGAGAGAGATTTATGATAGCTGGAGAGTTCATGATTGATAGAGGCAACTAAGTCAAAGCTATAAGAAACATACAACTAATGAAATCAACAATTGGGGAAATCATAACTCTAGACCTCCTTAATTTAGTCTCCAAACCTTTGTCTCGTTAGTTGATAATTTTACCGTTTTATAGTATTTGTTGGTTAATTAGTTAGATATAAAAATCTTAGTATTATAATTTAGAAATTGTTCAAACTTGTCTTCTTTGCGATATTGAACAATTACAGCGAAACCTTAGTTCTCTGTGGGATTCGACTCCGGACTTTTAGACCGGATTATATTTGCAGCGACCGCTTATCCTTTTTAGGACTAGAGTTGGGCGTGATAAATTATCTAGGTTTGGACAATCCTGTGGTGTGGATTCTAATTGAAGAGTCTTGGTATGGAATTTTGTAGGAATTTGTAAGCATTTATGTTGCTAAGGTGCAAAGCTCACATCTGAAATGTGCAAAAGCTAACGTTTAGGATTTTTTTGTGTAAGAAATGAAGTGTTTTGGTACTACACATTATTTTTGCCACCTAAGCTCATATGACTACTTAGTCATATGTATTAATAGTGGCTTGCTGCCACGTTTGGGGGGGGGGGGGTGTTAGTCTTATTTGATAATTTAATTAATTAATTAGGTAATATCCCGCTAACCGATAATTAACCAATTACCCACATAATTAAGAATTATCTCAAATTACCTAGAATTCTACTTATTTTTTTAATACACTTTATACATCATACTATCATGGTCATATGGTACCTTGTATGGTACTAGTCCATAAATATCGGGTATTATAGCTCGGACCTATTTTATCAAAAATCGACAACCTTCAACGAAACTCATTTTCTATGATTTGTTTACCCTTTATCCTTCACGACACTTACTTATCGCTTGTTGTAAATAGCATAAATACGTTAACATTAAGATAATCATCCCCGAGTCTACGTCGATTAACTAAAGACGAAACTTTAACATACGAAAATGCGGGACGTAACATTCTGGCAGGCACTATTCAGGCTGCTGGGCACTCAACTTCATTTTACTACTGCCTACCGCCCTCAAAGTGATGGCCAAAGTGAGAGGGTGAATAAATGTATTGAGAATTATCTTAGGTGCATGACTTTTCATAGGCCAGTACAATGGAAGCAATGGTCACCCCTAGCTGAGTGGTGGTACAATACCAATTTCTATACCAGTTTAGGTTGTACTCCCTTTGAAGCCTTGTATGGTTTTACTCCACCACAGTTATCAGTTGGTCCACTTCTAGATACTACTGTCTAGGCTGCTGGTGATGCTGTTATAAGGAGGCAACAAGTTCAACAATTGTTGCAAGATAACTTGATTAAACCTCAGGAGAGGATGAAGTTATATGCAGATAAAAAAAGAACTGAAAAGGAATTTCAGGTGGGTGACATGATTTTTCTCAAGCTCCAGCCTTATAGACAAACATCCTTAGCTCTCAGAAGAAAACTCAAACTCAGTTCCAAGTTTTATGGGCCGTACAAAGTCATTGCCAAGGTGGGGCAAGTTGGTTACAAACTGGAATTACCTCCTACCTCCAAAAGTACATCTTGTATTTCATGTTTCTCTATTGAAGAAGAAGGTGGGATCCAAGATCACTACTTAGACTTCACTACCCCAGACTGGAGATGATGGACAGTTTTTGGTTGCTCCAGTTGCCATCTTACAAAGGCAGATGGTTAAGAAGGGAAATGTTGCTGCCATTAAGGTCTTAGTACAATGGTCGAATTTAGCTCCTGAGGATGACACTTGGGAAGATTATGCACATTTGAAAGCCAAAATCCCCTCATTTTGATCCTTGAGCACGAGGATCATTTTAAGGGGAAGGGTATGTCATGGTCTGTGGGAGTCGTTCATTTCAATTTCGGCAGAGTTCAATTATAAAAAAGACGGAAGGTTCTCATTGCAAAACAACGGGAAAGTTGAAGGGTCGATGTTAGATTAGCCGGTATAGATCAACGATCATCTTTAGCAATATCAAATAACGACTGAGAGAGAGAGAGAGAGAGAGAGAGAGAGAGAGAGAGAGAGAGAGAGAGAGAGAGAGAGAGAGAGAGAGAG